CGCGGCGGGGAGCCGGGGAGGGGCTCGTGGGGCCGCCCCCACTAGGGGCGCGGGAGCATGTGTAAAAGTGGGGGGTGGCACCCCCAACCCTGCCCCCCCTTCAGTGTGCGGGCCCATAACTGGGACCTCGGGTCAGCAGCAGAGTCCGGGGAGCACAGGGTGGCGGGGGGAGGTAGCAGCAGCAGATCCCGCTGAAGCTGTAGCTGGGATCCCAAGCACTAGGCTGGGAGCCATGGGGCGATGCAGCACCCCCAGCTCCTGCGCCTATGCAACCAACCAGTCCCTCTGGGGCTAGGTCAAAGCAGCCCCCCACCCTCAAAGGCCCCATGCCTCCCCCCAGCCTCGTGCCAAGTCAGAGCACGTCAGACAGTGGCAATAGTGACTTGGGATGGAAGCCCCAGTAATTCCTGCCTCTGGCCACTCCCTAGGGTCAGGGTGTAGCTGAGAGGGAGTAACACCATCCCAGGCTGTCTGAACATGGACTAGCAGTAGAAAGGTGTTACTTCTGTGCACAGGTGACTCGTGGTAGCACTCGGGGGGGTGCGCTGCCCCTTGCCAAAATTTTAATTGCTAAAAGGGGCATAGCCTTTAGATGCCCTTCCCCTTGCATCCCCGCTCCCCACAGGCACCTGTCTCTTTTGCCTCTGTGCGGGGCTTTGGTGATTCCCTTACTTGAAAAGGCGCCCGGTTCTGGCGTCCACACTTCAAACAGGATGTTGCCAAATTGCTAAGGGTTCAAAGAAGCGCTGCAAGAACGATTGGAGGTCTGGCAACCCTGGGCTTGTCTAGACAGGGAAATGTATTATATATAATGATAGAGCAGTAGTTATATTGGGACCATACATAGAGAGATGCGGTGCACGTAGTCAAACACTGTAATGCTCTTTCACTTCATTATATAGAGCCCAGGACATGCAAAGCAACAACCCCCTGCCATTGCAATGTTGCTAATTCAGGCAGGATGGGAAGCTGGGCCTGGTGGGAGACACAACGGGCCTTTCTTCTGGCCTCAACATTTATTAAATGTGCTGGGCGGCAGAGGCCAGGGGCCTTTGCAGGCACAGAGCTCATGGCGGGAGGGAGTGCCGGGAAGGGAAAAGTCACAGCGCTCATGGCGTGAGCGGATCTCTGTGTGCGCCCATGGCGGTGATGGTGCCCGGGCTCTCTGCTCCTGCAGGTCTGAACAGGGTCTCGCTCCAGGCGTAGGGAGCTGAGGATGAAGAAGGTGTCGAGGAAGAGCCAGAATGAAAAGTACCGGCTGAAGTACAGCCGGCTGCGCCAGGCGGCCAAGGCCATGGTGTTCGAGAACGCTGCGCTGTGCGATGAGATCGCCCGGCTGGAGGAGAAATTCCTGCGGGCAAGAGAGGAACGCCGCTTCCTCCTTACCAAGCTGCTGCAGCTGCAGGCGCTGGCGGCTGAGGAGGAGAGCCCGGCAATGCCGTCAGGGGGCATCTCGGCAGGGTACAGCGTGGCACCAACGCCTGGCCCGGAGGAACCTGCGCCTGCAGGGAAGCGACCCAAGAAGGGCAAGGAGAACGGGCGGGCAGCCAAGCGGCGGGGCGCGGCCG